AATTAACAAAAACAAAACAAACACTTGTTACCAAATCTAAAAAATATATTTAAAATAATATATATATATATTTAGTACCGAATTTCGCCACGCATTCTTTTATATTACGTTAATTTTGCTTTTGCTTTCAGTTTCTTATCAGCTCGGTCTTTTGAATAGAGAAATTAGCGATATTTTATCGAACTTGGCAGTTTCGCATAATATAAACGAACCAATAGAGAAACACAAACACAGCCTGGAGGAGGTGTCTTCTGAGAAACCACAGCGTCTCGTCACAAATTTGGATGTTTGCCCAATTTGTCAAGAACCGCTTCTGTCTATCCACCAGCCGGTTACGTACTGCAGGTAAGTTAGCCTGCTTATCATCTCCCACGTCTTGGTGCTTTGTTTCCGTATCATAATACAGTTTTGTTTTTCATTTATAAAACGAATATTTTAGTGTTATTCAAAATGATAAAAATCCATATAACCAGAGCGCTTTCGAATGGTAGTCCTGAGGGAGAAAGATCCACCTTTCGAAAGCGCTCTGGTTATATGGAGTTTATCATTTGGTATCAGGACTTCTTGAACCTAAGTGTTTTTCTGATATCATTAATGTTATTCAATAAGTATGGTTCTGAAAAAAAAAATAAGACTATGAAATTCGGGGTTCACACTTCAGGGGCGTCTCTAGGATTAGTTGGTTTTAGGGGTGTGGGAGGTCCTAATTCACCACATCGCATTTTATTCAGTGTAGCTCAGTGGTGATTCTTAGGCAAATTAGGATGTAATATCCAGTCTAACAAAGCAAATGATGCAGTATGAAAAATACTTTATTTTGTTGTGTTTATGAGATATCACCTGGTGTTTGAACTAAAGCGGAATTCTGGCTCTTTTTTTTTTTTCACTCAAGCGTTTTTAGATGTGTTTCATGTACTCTCGTGTGTCACATGGACACACGGCATTTACAATATCGTTTAAGAAGTAAAGCAACTCGTACAAGGATGTCATATACACACACATCAAGATATTCCTAACATTACATACATTATCAAGTAGATTACATAGGATTGGAGAATTTGTTACCTTTAAAGATGACAACGTGTAAGAAAGAGCCAGAGGAAGCCACCCCCCCCCCACACACACACACCCCTGTGGCACAGGGGTGTGTCTGGAGACTTCTACCGCTAAAAACCGGGTTTCGATACCAGTGGTGGGCAGACCACAGATAGCCCATTGTGTATATTTTTTTTACTTAATGACAAACAAAAACCGCAGAAGTGCCATATGGCACTCGTTCTGACATGAAAGTAACTCTGCGAAAGAGAGTGACTGGATGAAGGAGAGGAGGGGGCTTATTTATTTTCATCAATCTATGTTCTTTCTCATTCATTGCTGATGGTTAGGGGACTTTCGATTCGCAACTTTTGGGTCACGGGTTCGAATCGTATCCATCACCGAATATGCTCGTCTTTTCAGCCGTTGAGGTGCCATAATGTGACTGTCAATCCCATTATTCTATTAGATAGTTGGCGGCGTGTAGTGCTGGCCAGCTGCATTCCATCTTGTCCATCACTTCTACATTAGGAACGGCTAGCGGAGATAGCCCTCGAGTAGCCATGAGCGAAATTCAACAACAAACAAATCACCGCTGATGCTGCAGGTTTTACTTATTTAGAACTAAATAGAGTGGGTACCTTAGGCCTAAGATATGTAGACGTAGACTGAATTCAATGCTTCATGCCGCTAGTGCTAGGATTAGTACGTATCGTAAAATTGCGAGAGATAAAGTAAGGTTTGCCAGTTTTCTTATTGATGAGTAAGTTAATTAAAAGTAAACGTAGTTTAATGATAATTAATAACTGTGTTCAAATAGATAAATAATAATGTGTTATTAATATTTAACCTAACTCTGATTCGTAAATGACTTAGATAAAATTAGAAAAAAAAAACTTTAACAACTTAATCTACGTCACACCATAACAGTTGTTGTTAATTCAATTTGATAATATAAACAGCATCTAAATTACTACTTTGTCTTATCCCAGCTGGCTTTGTGATCCCCGGTGTTGAGCATAATACCTCCTCGGCACTGGATGTAGCAGAAATGGTGTGTTTGACATACTGTTATACATTCTTCTTTACTTTCACTCATAAGTTCTTAAAATACGCTGGCCGTGGTTGCTAGGTTCTCGCGTTGCAAGCGCTTAGTTCAGCGTTCGCTACTTGGCGTGATTATTATTATTATTTTGGAATTGCTTCGCTTAGCGGTGAATAATGGCAAAATAAAGTTATTTTGAAAGCTATTTCAAAGCAGATTTTACATTTGTGACATTTGTTTAAGCTATTTCAAAGCAGATTTTACATTTGTGACATTTGTTTAAGCTATTTCAAAGCAGATTTTACATTTCTGACATTTGTTTACACTCAACTTTCTTCTTCACGTTCATACCATTAAGAAAAAAGAATACTTCCACCAAATTGGTACTGAAAAGTTTTTAATTTTCTGGAAAACTTCGCGTAGCTCTAGAATTAAAAGTAGGAAAAGCTGGTGAATTAAATTCTGTAAACCTGTTCTAGATGCGCATAATATTCAGAATAAAGTGAAACATTTGCATTTTTATTTCTGCAGAAGTGTAATAAGTATGTAAATTTTTATGCATAATGAGCAAACTGCGTAAACAGAAAAAAAAACAATAGTTTTGTTGCTTATTTCTTTTTTTTATTAGTAATTTCAGATGGAAAAAAAGTTAGTTAATGTTTTCATTTGTAGTTTTATGATGTATCTAACATGTTTCAAATAAACTAAACGTTAGGTCACAAAATAAAACAAACAACAACAAAAAAACTTCATGTTGTTTAAATATTTTCTTCCTGGAATAATGTCTTACAAAATATTATTTCGAGGCATTACTGTCTTTATTTATTTATTTTATTTTATTTTTTGCTTAGATTAAATTTCCTGTCATAACGATGCACTAAGTAACGTAAAAAATGGCATACCGGAATGAATGGTTAATATTTACAGATACGGTTGTGGAAACAACGTTCATGTTACTTGCATGAAAGTGTGGGTCGATTATCAGTTAAGATCTGGATCACTAGATGGCGACACGATACGCTGTCCTATTTGTCGAGGACGGTATGGTTCCATAACTGATTTGAAATGCCAGTTTCGAAATGCACGTGACATGTTAGAAAGTAATACTTCAAAAACCTCAACCCACCAAGGAAAATCATGTAAATTATGTGGGGATTTTCCCATTACTGGAAAGTGTTTCAAGTAAGTAAAATGTATTTTGATTTCGCTCTCTGATTATCCTCAGTTTTTAGGATGCTTCTGTGTCTATATTTGATATTAAGTTATTTTTTTTTACTCAAATGACAAAATACTTCAGTGTTTCGACTGATAATTTATTTTTTTGTTTCTTGCCTTTTGTATTTGTGAAAAAAAAGTAAAAAAGTGAAACTGTACTTCTTTATTGACAAGACAGTAAAATGTAGACCAACATTCTCTTTGCTTTATTTAGTTGTGGTGAGGTAAGGCATGGTCTGGTGGTTAGTGCCCGGACAGTGAATCCAAGTATTTATGGTTCGCGTCCCGTTGCCGAAAAAAACTAACTGTGCACGTTAGGATCATAGGTTTGCTATAAAAGATACGTCAAATGCCATTATTTGGTCAGACAAGAGTTGGCGGTGGGTTCTGTTGATTAGCTGCTTTCCGTCTAGTCTATCAGTTGAAATGCGTAAATATTGCTTTTTTTTTTTGTTAGACAATAAACTGTTTACAAATATTCAGAATAGAAAAACCATGATCAATATCATATTAAAACGCCGAAAATTCCCGCGCCTGAGGGCCCGAGACTCGAAACGTTTTACTGATGTATAGAAACACAAGAAAGAAATTTATTTTGAAACTTAGTTGAAGTTGTTGTTGTTTAAAGTTAGGCACAAAACTACACAATGGGCTATCTGTACTGTGTCCACCACGGGTATCGAAACCCGGTTTCTAATGTTGTAAGTCCGCAGACATACCGCTGTGCCACTTGGGGAGTGGGGGGGTATCTAGTTGAAATTGAAATTATCTGAATTTTAATGAAATTCATTTGAAAACTTGTTTATAAAACTGTTTACTATTCAATACAAAATCAACATAATTTTTGTTGACTTGTATGAAAACTTCAGTTTTAGTTACCGTGAAAGCAAAAAACGCATTCACAATAACAACAACATGACACGCCAAAAAAATAAAATAAAAATAACTCGTATCTGATTCCTAAAAAATTAATTATACGTTAATTTCCAGGTTAGTGTATTCAAGATAACTTACTCTTCACAGGTATCGTGAGTGTGGTGGTTATTATATGTGTCAGTCTTGCGTCAACACTGCTCCTCACAATCATATTGTGCTGTATCGAGAGAAGGCTTACAACAAACGGCGGGAAGTGCCTAAAGAACATCTGCCCGAGTGTCTGGTTGCGTCACTTACAAATCGAGAGTTCACGGATAAAGACTATGAAATGTTACTTCAGTTAGAAAGGTAACTAACTCTTCTTTATTCAAAAACTTTCCTGAGGATTTCCGAGATGAGCTACTTCCCTTAGTCACGTGATAGGATTCTTCCCTTAGTCACGTGATAGGATTCTTCCCTTAGTCACGTGATAGGA